GCGCTCGGGTTCTCCCGGCGGGGTTGGCCCTGCCCCGCAGCCCCGCGTCCCCACCCCGCGTGGCGTCCATTGGCCACCACATCCATCCCTGCCCACGGGCGCATGGATGCAGGGACGCGCCACGCTTAACCCTTCCGCACTGGCCCAAGCAGCCCCGTCCAGGGCGATGGATGGGGACGGGGATGGGACCCCGCTCCCTCGCTCGGTGCCGGTGCGGGAAGCACCGTGTCTCTGCACAAGCTTCTCCCCCTGCCCAGCCTGGCGGGGGGATGATGGTGGTGTCCCCATGTTCACGCAAGGGTCCTTGTGGGGACGTGACGCCCCCACCACGGCCTCGGAAGCCCAGCCCTGTCCCACTGCACTGAGGGGACCTTCCTGGCACCCGGCTGCTCCCTGTGGATCTTATGGCACAGGGGGACGGCACAGGGCCCCTTGCACTGCCCAGGCCCCATTGGCCATCACTGGCCCCATGTTTCTGTGGAGCAAGCCACAGCCCCTGCAGCCATGAGTGGCCAGCGTCAGGGTGAACAGAGCCACGTGCTCCATCCACAGCCTCCCGTGAGCTGTCCCAGGCCTGTCCCATGGCTGCTGCCCCCCTTGGAGACCTGCAGTGTCCCCCCGAGAGGCTAATTCACTCGCAGGTAGCTTGAGGTGGTGCCTGGTGGTGCAGAAGAGGAGAGGGCAGCTCTGGGCGCAGGGCGGGAGTTCTGGCACATTTTCTTTCCCCAGTAGTTCCTGGTGGTAACACAAGCCGTGCGGCCCTGCAGGCTCCTGCGGCTCTGGTTTATCCCAATGGGAGACCCCCCGGCCGAGCCCCGGCACCCGTGGGGGCTGCGGGGGCCCCACAGGATGGATGCAGGGCCGGGGAAGGGAAGGATCCCTCCACGCGGGGAAGGGGACAGGCCACGCGTGTGTCTTTGCAGGGAACACCGATGCTCCCAGCCTGTCTCCTGCCCAGGGGAACCGCAGGAGCCTGGGGATGGGACACGCTCGGACACCCTCGCCCCGGCGCTGGGAGCTGCTGGGGGCTCCAGCGGGGGCTTGGG